ACCAAATCAGGCTATTTGTGAGAATGTCGGAGAAACAGCAGTGACGCTGTACACTACAATGTAGGTCTCCTCACCTTCCCAGAACCCCCCATTCACCTGGAGAACAGCTGTCTCAGAATATTTCAGGAGCTTGGCCTGCTCCCCATAATCTCTTAAGGTGCACCTCCACCATTTAAAATAGGCAGAGATTGCTAAGTGGCTAAGAAGATTCACAGAGGCCCAGGCCCACTCAGTAGACAAGAGGAGTTTATGCTTCTCAGGAATTATACTGGTTACTGCTCCTGTTCTACCTTCTCTAACTCTCCCCATATTATAAAGCTGCCCTGATCTATTCCATCTTCTCTGTTTTTCTTCTAGTCACTAGCCCTCCTGTTTGCCCTGGTGACCACTCTTACTCATGTCTTGCCCATGCCACATGCCAGCCCACCCTGTTCTACATCTCAACTGCAACCAAGCTGCTTGATGAACAAAGTACTTAAGAAGAGCCCTGTACCAGGAACCAGACTAAATATTCTTTATACATTATCTCTTTTAGTCCTCACAAAAGCTCCTAAGGAAGTCCCCATTGCGTCAATGAAGAAAATCAGCATCAAAGACATTATTAAGTAACATGCCCAAGGTCAAATAGCTTGAAAGCGGCAGATCCATCATGAGATCTGTCAGAGATCCATCCAATAAGAGTAACTATAAAAACATAAGATGGATATAGTCTACACCAGTGTTTCTCACATGTGGAGGTTGTACACATTATTTTAAAAGATAATCATTTTGCAAGGATTACAGTTAGAAAATTAGTGCAGGTTTTTACCAGGAGCAAACAAAGAACTGAGAAATAAGAGTGTGCTTTAGGAATTAAGCTAACAAATCAACATGGGGACCTGAGCAAATACAAATGGGCATCTTGGATGTGGACCAGCTACCAGGGCCAGTAGGCCTTGACTGGACACGTGGGGAGGTTCAATTACTGAATGCATTTAAAGAACGTACTTCAGTAGAAAGATTGGCAAATGTCAAAGCTTTAAGAAAAGGAAAGACAGCAGTTCAAATGTCGTCTGTACCCACTGAAGCTCTGGGGAGAAGTTCAGTAAAGCTAAGCCAATAGGCCACCTGCCAAAGAGGTAACTATTATGGAGACGGACATGTGGATATTGGGCTTTCTATGGCTCACAGGAGACACAGCCCATCCACGTAATTCTCTCTCTTCTAAGAGGGCAGCTCCCCACCACCAACCCCCAAAGCTTAACCACAGGAGAGAACATAGCACCAGGATAATACCAGGATAATGACAGTGGCCATCAAGTAATAACCACTTTCATCTAGTAATGAAAGTTTTATTAGCCAATGGCCACTGAGAAATTCCTGAGCCCACAAATCTTGGAATTCACCAAGGTGAACGCTATTGAACGGGCGTCATCATAGATAACACCCTTGTCTTCTTCGAGTGACTAAAATAACTGGACACGTGTGTGTTTACCTTTTCGCCATCTCTCCCTGGTTCTCCTTTGTAACCTGGCAGTCCTCGTGCTCCCTAAATTAACCACAAAATAAAATTCTGTTATGGTTTTTTGGTTCACTAGAAATGATATTTCTAAAATGTGCATGAGCAGATCACATACTTGTATTCCTGGGGATCCTGGAACACCTGGGGATCCTGAGACTCCCTGATATCCCTAAAGAAAAGTAAATGAGAAATAATTAATGTTTCATCACATTCACAAAGAACAGTCCCCCATTGCAGGATTCACTCCTGTCTAGAGTTTCTCACACCTAAGACTTGACTTAGTTTAAGAAACCAAAGTGTCAAATGCTTACTAAGGAATTCATATCTTTCAGCCTTTAGGAAAAAAGATCTTAAATATCTCTAGATTAATGAAAATATCTAGAAATGCTTCACTTAAAAGGAAAGCTTTGTTATCAACATATAAAAGCCTATGTTCACAGCTCGTAAAGAAATGTACTGAATGTTAGAAACATATTCAACATATTCAGGAGAAAAACACCTAAAACTAGAGGATTAAACCAATGTAATACATTTAACTCCTGGAATAATGACCACTCAGTTAATCCCTAGAATAAATTAAACCTTGATGAATGTTGTCTTTCAGAGTAAGTCTATAACAGCCTTTGGATTGCCCACTTTAGAAAGCTGCTGCTATTACACCCAAGAACATGGCTGTGACATGTCCCCTGGACCTCCCAAGGCTGAGCTGTCAGCTGAGGCATGGTCAACTTTCATCTCCACTGCTTCTTACACATCCCTCCAGAAACTGGACACTTGGTAAAATAGTACATCATTTTCAGACGGGGGAAACTATTCATTCTTCACTCAGCACGTGGCAATTAAACTCCAAAGCAAACTTGCAGGCCCCGAACACTTCTCTAGATTTCTCAGGGTCAGCGTCAGGTTGACTTGGACGACCTGGCACCTGCAAACATATTTACCTCTCTTATTCAGATTCCATGTTTCTCCCATGCTCTATCCATTTTCCATCTTTCTCACATCTTACTGTTTAGGGACAGCTTTCTTTCGTCAGTAGTATTAACACAGATCTCATTAATGTTTCAGTTACACTTTTATTCTTAAATCCAAAAGCTTCATTTCCATGTGGCTACTCATAGATATCTGCTCTGGTCTTTGTAGTCACCCAATCACTTGTCAGTACATGTTTAGCTGCAATTTTAGAGGCATCATAATTCCCTGCTTTTCCAGTCCCATTTTCAAATATTTCTTATACTATTCTTTGCTAGCTCTAACAAAAACAACAATAGCGGTTGTCTCTAAAAAATCAGTCATAGATTATAATTTTTCTCCTTTTACATGCACTTGCATTTCTTATTTTGTAAAATGCTCTCAGTTACTCCCAGAACAATGATGACTATATAATTCTTATCGCCAATAATCATCCTTTCCTTCATTCCCCATTCTGGTTTCATGGAGTGTGTCATGATGCATTATTCAGGATTTCTCAAACTAAATTTTTCTCTCAAGTCCCTTTGGCGATTCTTAAACATTTTACTTCACCAGTGAATGAATTTCATAACCAACCTTCTGATACTCCATAAAAAACCACCAGCAATTTTCAAGCCCACTATATGCTCCCCAGGCTGGCACTGTCTCTGTGTCACTGAATTAAGTGTCCCCTTAAGACAAGGAACCAGGTCTAATTCATTTCCATATTTCCAGCATTGGACAGAGCATTTGGCACATTTTCTGTTCCTCAAACACTGGAAGAAGTTACCTTCAAGTCATCCACACGGCACACAAGAGTGAAATATCTCTTTCCCCAAGGAACCACGTTATGTTTGTGCTCTTTCCAATAGCAAATTGAAGCTTTTAGTAATACCATGTGGTTCATGTTCTCAAGGACAGTCAGAAGAAAGAAGAAAGTCAATCTGCTATGCAGAGTTTGTTTAGCTTTACATCTGTACCACTCTGGTTATCACTGAATCTCCTTCCCTCACCACTTTGGAATCAGAGAGGCCGGAAATTGAATTTCAATTCTATCACATGCCTAAACAGAGCTAGGTTCCTCATAAACGCCACCACCTGGGATTCCTTCAGAACCTTGCATGCACTCTCTGGATAGTGTGACATGAGTTGCAATAGGCTGTTGTAATTGGGAGAAATAATAATAGCAATGATTTATGTACTACTTATCATGTTTCAGCCTAATTAATTCACTTAATCTTCACACCACCCTTTAATGTAGGTTCTACCTTATCCCCATTTTAAAACAAGACACCAAAGCACAGAAGGTTAAGTAACTTGCCCAGAGTTTCACAGATAGGAAGTTGACAGAGCCAGTGGAACCACCCTCTATCAAAAATGCTTCATGGTAGATCAGATCTTACGATTCTAGAATGATTAACCAAGTCAAAGAAATCCATTTAACCAGACTACTTTTACATTGGTTAGGCTTCTGAGTGCCCAGAGGAAAGACCTGTTCGTAAAATTCCCCAAAAGAAAGTTACTATGGAGTTTAGCTATTTATAAAAATGATTGGTCATCTGCAAAGTTCACATTAAATGAATTATTTTTCTTTCACATTTTTTCAAAAGTGAAACCAAATGTCATATCTGCTTTATTATTTTTTTCAAAAAGTTAATCTTCTGTAAAGATCAAAAACTGCCACACTGTCCTCTCTGAAGAATTGAATGCAACGCATTTGTTAGAGAGAACACATCACCCTTCGGTGGGTTAAAGTGAGGTGAAGGTGACCCAGAACGTGTTCCCAGCTCACCTCTGACTCACAGTGTGACTTCAGGCAGAGAAAACAAACCCCCGAATCCTGGGGCAACACAAGTGAAGTTGAAAGACAATGAATTTTGAAACTGGAAAAGACCTTGCGCTGAATTTTTGCTCCTCCCTTTCTATGGGATTTTCACTAAGTCACTTTGCCTAGCTAAGCCTCAGTTTTTTACCATAAAGCTAGATAATAATACCTACTTTACTTCAGAAAAGAAACAACGTATCACAGGCGAAAATGTCTGGCACATATTAGGATCTCAACAAATGTAAGTTTCTTTTCTTCAGTCTCAATACCTATTATACGAAACTATGAGAACNTCAAATGTCGTCTGTACCCACTGAAGCTCTGGGGAGAAGTTCAGTAAAGCTAAGCCAATAGGCCACCTGCCAAAGAGGTAACTATTATGGAGACGGACATGTGGATATTGGGCTTTCTATGGCTCACAGGAGACACAGCCCATCCACGTAATTCTCTCTCTTCTAAGAGGGCAGCTCCCCACCACCAACCCCCAAAGCTTAACCACAGGAGAGAACATAGCACCAGGATAATACCAGGATAATGACAGTGGCCATCAAGTAATAACCACTTTCATCTAGTAATGAAAGTTTTATTAGCCAATGGCCACTGAGAAATTCCTGAGCCCACAAATCTTGGAATTCACCAAGGTGAACGCTATTGAACGGGCGTCATCATAGATAACACCCTTGTCTTCTTCGAGTGACTAAAATAACTGGACACGTGTGTGTTTACCTTTTCGCCATCTCTCCCTGGTTCTCCTTTGTAACCTGGCAGTCCTCGTGCTCCCTAAATTAACCACAAAATAAAATTCTGTTATGGTTTTTTGGTTCACTAGAAATGATATTTCTAAAATGTGCATGAGCAGATCACATACTTGTATTCCTGGGGATCCTGGAACACCTGGGGATCCTGAGACTCCCTGATATCCCTAAAGAAAAGTAAATGAGAAATAATTAATGTTTCATCACATTCACAAAGAACAGTCCCCCATTGCAGGATTCACTCCTGTCTAGAGTTTCTCACACCTAAGACTTGACTTAGTTTAAGAAACCAAAGTGTCAAATGCTTACTAAGGAATTCATATCTTTCAGCCTTTAGGAAAAAAGATCTTAAATATCTCTAGATTAATGAAAATATCTAGAAATGCTTCACTTAAAAGGAAAGCTTTGTTATCAACATATAAAAGCCTATGTTCACAGCTCGTAAAGAAATGTACTGAATGTTAGAAACATATTCAACATATTCAGGAGAAAAACACCTAAAACTAGAGGATTAAACCAATGTAATACATTTAACTCCTGGAATAATGACCACTCAGTTAATCCCTAGAATAAATTAAACCTTGATGAATGTTGTCTTTCAGAGTAAGTCTATAACAGCCTTTGGACTGCCCACTTTAGAAAGCTGCTGCTATTACACCCAAGAACATGGCTGTGACATGTCCCCTGGACCTCCCAAGGCTGAGCTGTCAGCTGAGGCATGGTCAACTTTCATCTCCACTGCTTCTTACACATCCCTCCAGAAACTGGACACTTGGTAAAATAGTACATCATTTTCAGACGGGGGAAACTATTCATTCTTCACTCAGCACGTGGCAATTAAACTCCAAAGCAAACTTGCAGGCCCCGAACACTTCTCTAGATTTCTCAGGGTCAGCGTCAGGTTGACTTGGACGACCTGGCACCTGCAAACATATTTACCTCTCTTATTCAGATTCCATGTTTCTCCCATGCTCTATCCATTTTCCATCTTTCTCACATCTTACTGTTTAGGGACAGCTTTCTTTCGTCAGTAGTATTAACACAGATCTCATTAATGTTTCAGTTACACTTTTATTCTTAAATCCAAAAGCTTCATTTCCATGTGGCTACTCATAGATATCTGCTCTGGTCTTTGTAGTCACCCAATCACTTGTCAGTACATGTTTAGCTGCAATTTTAGAGGCATCATAATTCCCTGCTTTTCCAGTCCCATTTTCAAATATTTCTTATACTATTCTTTGCTAGCTCTAACAAAAACAACAATAGCGGTTGTCTCTAAAAAATCAGTCATAGATTATAATTTTTCTCCTTTTACATGCACTTGCATTTCTTATTTTGTAAAATGCTCTCAGTTACTCCCAGAACAATGATGACTATATAATTCTTATCGCCAATAATCATCCTTTCCTTCATTCCCCATTCTGGTTTCATGGAGTGTGTCATGATGCATTATTCAGGATTTCTCAAACTAAATTTTTCTCTCAAGTCCCTTTGGCGATTCTTAAACATTTTACTTCACCAGTGAATGAATTTCATAACCAACCTTCTGATACTCCATAAAAAACCACCAGCAATTTTCAAGCCCACTATATGCTCCCCAGGCTGGCACTGTCTCTGTGTCACTGAATTAAGTGTCCCCTTAAGACAAGGAACCAGGTCTAATTCATTTCCATATTTCCAGCATTGGACAGAGCATTTGGCACATTTTCTGTTCCTCAAACACTGGAAGAAGTTACCTTCAAGTCATCCACACGGCACACAAGAGTGAAATATCTCTTTCCCCAAGGAACCACGTTATGTTTGTGCTCTTTCCAATAGCAAATTGAAGCTTTTAGTAATACCATGTGGTTCATGTTCTCAAGGACAGTCAGAAGAAAGAAGAAAGTCAATCTGCTATGCAGAGTTTGTTTAGCTTTACATCTGTACCACTCTGGTTATCACTGAATCTCCTTCCCTCACCACTTTGGAATCAGAGAGGCCGGAAATTGAATTTCAATTCTATCACATGCCTAAACAGAGCTAGGTTCCTCATAAACGCCACCACCTGGGATTCCTTCAGAACCTTGCATGCACTCTCTGGATAGTGTGACATGAGTTGCAATAGGCTGTTGTAATTGGGAGAAATAATAATAGCAATGATTTATGTACTACTTATCATGTTTCAGCCTAATTAATTCACTTAATCTTCACACCACCCTTTAATGTAGGTTCTACCTTATCCCCATTTTAAAACAAGACACCAAAGCACAGAAGGTTAAGTAACTTGCCCAGAGTTTCACAGATAGGAAGTTGACAGAGCCAGTGGAACCACCCTCTATCAAAAATGCTTCATGGTAGATCAGATCTTACGATTCTAGAATGATTAACCAAGTCAAAGAAATCCATTTAACCAGACTACTTTTACATTGGTTAGGCTTCTGAGTGCCCAGAGGAAAGACCTGTTCGTAAAATTCCCCAAAAGAAAGTTACTATGGAGTTTAGCTATTTATAAAAATGATTGGTCATCTGCAAAGTTCACATTAAATGAATTATTTTTCTTTCACATTTTTTCAAAAGTGAAACCAAATGTCATATCTGCTTTATTATTTTTTTCAAAAAGTTAATCTTCTGTAAAGATCAAAAACTGCCACACTGTCCTCTCTGAAGAATTGAATGCAACGCATTTGTTAGAGAGAACACATCACCCTTCGGTGGGTTAAAGTGAGGTGAAGGTGACCCAGAACGTGTTCCCAGCTCACCTCTGACTCACAGTGTGACTTCAGGCAGAGAAAACAAACCCCCGAATCCTGGGGCAACACAAGTGAAGTTGAAAGACAATGAATTTTGAAACTGGAAAAGACCTTGCGCTGAATTTTTGCTCCTCCCTTTCTATGGGATTTTCACTAAGTCACTTTGCCTAGCTAAGCCTCAGTTTTTTACCATAAAGCTAGATAATAATACCTACTTTACTTCAGAAAAGAAACAACGTATCACAGGCGAAAATGTCTGGCACATATTAGGATCTCAACAAATGTAAGTTTCTTTTCTTCAGTCTCAATACCTATTATACGAAACTATGAGAACACTTGTACAGAATGTTACTCTGGAGCCTTTTAAAATATATATATATATATAGATATATATATCNTCACAGGCGAAAATGTCTGGCACATATTAGGATCTCAACAAATGTAAGTTTCTTTTCTTCAGTCTCAATACCTATTATACGAAACTATGAGAACACTTGTACAGAATGTTACTCTGGAGCCTTTTAAAATATATATATATATAGATATATATATCTATATATCTATATATATATCTTTATTGATTTCAGAGAGAGGAAGGGAGAGGGAGAGATAGGAACATCAATAATGATAGTCACTGATCGGCTGCCTCCTGCACGCACCCTACTGAGCATCAAGCCTGCAACCCGGGCATGGGCCCTGACCGGGCATCAAACACCCATCTCCTGTATCATGGGTGATGCTCAACCACTAAACCACACTGGCCAGGCTATTCTGGAGCCTTAACAGCCACCATTAATGCATGAGGAATGGCAGGTCCAGTCATCATCACCATGATTTAAGCATTTTTCAACATTCATACATATCTAACCCTGAACATGTGAACAAGACCTCAGTGTATTTTAAAATCGCTCTATTGGTTTTGACTTTGGAAGGACTGATATACAGGAATAGTAACTGCTTCCCACAATACAAGAACCAAGCTACTGTTGTTCTTTTTTTCTTAACTTACGAGACGTGGTCTTGAAAACTTAGCTGTATAAAGAAATTCAAAGATTATTTTAAAAACTGGAGTAAGCATGATTTGTAATTAAAAAACAAAACCACATCCAAGGTGGGGGAATCCCAGGGCAAATCACCAGAAGAAATTAGATGAAATTCAGAAAGAAAGAAAAATTTTGGACTGAAAATCAGGAAAATAAATGTTAACAGGGAGGAATATTACAACAGAGAACAATTTCCAAGATGAGCAAGAAATAAAACATTGGCTGACTCATAGTAGGGCACACGAAAACAAGAAAAATGTCCTGAAACAGGAAAAGTGATGTTTCCATATAGTTTTCTGAATATGCAAGTTCCTGTGTTTTCCTGTACACTGTAACCTTCACACAGTCTTTGACTGCTTAGTATTTATTGACATTAATTTTATCATTTTGCAACTATTAGCAGGTCCAAATATCCACACTACCCCCATCTGCAAGGTTTCTGACAGTATTTAAGTTTTTCCCATGTTCAGAAAAGTTTCTTTGTAAATGAGTCATTTTATAGGAAAAAAATATTCTCACTGCCAAATTGTAGGGTTGAAGTATACAGAGTCAATTTACTTTTCTTCCATGATTCATAGTTGCCATGCTCCAGGAAAGATATATAGTTTTGAAATGGAAATTGGTAATAAAAATCATCAAATGTGCTAGGGTCACAATGTCTTCTGAGCCCAATTTTAATCATACTATAAAATATTCTGCCAATATAAGTATATAGATTTTTTTTTTTTAAGTAGTAAGAAGGTTTCCTTTAAATACTCTAAACTTAAAAATGAGAATAAAATCCAAAGATATTATTTGGGATGTCACTCTTATTTTTTAAATGTATGAATGTGATTTAAAGTTTATTATATTACATAATTTTCTTCAAAGTTTTCAAAAATTCCACCACATACTCTTAGGTACATAGCCAGGGTAACTAGGTAACCAAAATCAAGTGTCTGCTTTTAATGTCCACTGGGGATTCTTCTAGTCACTGGCAGACTTTATAGCTCTATACAACTAAATCCAAGAATATATATGAATCTCTGTCTTTCCATGTATATGAGTAATAAAGAAACTAGTTTGCCATCTAACCCAACTATTCAAGTAGTTTAAGTATTTAACTCAAATTATGTACTTTACTAACAGATCGAATTAATGTATATAAAATTACACCTCAGCTAACTTCTAAGAAAGAACTGTGATGCAATGGGAGGTGAAGAGTAGACAGTCAAGGGAAGCTTTCTGAAGACAAAAGCTCAAAGAAACACTAAAGGAGTCACAGCGCATGAGGCAGCCCTTCAGTGTGTCATCCAGCATGATAGGACGAGCCATAGCCCTGGAGACGAAAGGAGAGATGTTTGTATGCATGCTGCACACGAGACTGGAATGACAGGCTGGAGGTGACCTGCACAG